TAAAAAACCTGGTCTACATAGTGAGTTCCAGGACAGCTGGGGCTACAAGGAGACCCTGTCTCAAAAAATACAAACAAAAAAACCAAAAATAAATAAATAAATAAATAAATAAATAAATAAATAAATAAATAAATAAAAAAGCTGGGATGGCTCAAGGGGTAAAGGTTCTTGCTACCAAGGCTGACAACCTGAGTTTGATCCCCAGAACCCAGAATCCATAATAGTGGAAGGAGAGAACCAATAAGTTGTCTTCTGACCTCCTCACTATGGTACATACACAATAAATAACAACAAATGTAAAAAGAAAACACGCTCATATCTTTTTATCTGATCCTCATAGGAAGTCCATGAGGCCAAATAACATTCAGTATGAAAAGCTGAGACTCAGAAAAAATGGAAAAAGTGAAGGAAAAAAAGGTCAAATACTTCATGAGGACAGGATCTAGGACTGGACTTGTTTCCTTCCACATCCCACGTGCTTCGTATCCGGTCTTCCAAAGTCCTTGAAAAGATAAAGGCCACCATTCCTGCAATAGAGGCATTTCATGATGTCACAATGTTTTCCATAAACCACTGGCTTTCTTTCTTTTTCTTTCCTGCCCCCTCACCCCTTCTCTCTAGCCTGGCTTCTTACTGTCCTACAGCCTCAGTCTCCCAAGTGCTGGGATTATAGTAGTGTGCCACCATTCCAGGCCATGTTTGTATATGTCTTTTTTTAATTACTGAATGGACTGTCATGACTGCAGGCCTCCATTCTCACAGGAAAACTGAGACTTTATAATTCTGACAGACTCATGGGTCCGGGTTCTAATCAGTCTATGGTTACTTACTAGTGTGAGATGTTGGACAACTTAAAGGTGTTCTTTTTGAGGTGCAGGGGACTGAACCACATGCATGCTAAGTGCGTGCTTTGCCACTCAGCTATGTTCTCAACCTGTAAACTACATCATTGCGGGGGGCTCTCCCTATAGCACTAGCTGTCCTGGAACTCTCTAGGTAGACCAGGCTGGTCTCAATCTCCCTGAGATCTGCCTGTCTCTGCCTCCCAAGTGCTAGGGTTAAGGCATGTGCCACCACACCTGGTTTAAGTTAGATTCTTTAAGCTGCAGTTTTCCTATTTTTAAAATATAAATCATATCTAATCTTGGGAGTTTATAAATTGAAATGAGATAACTGTATGAAATCCAGGGCTCAGCATTTTCTCTCTCTTTTTTTTTTTTTTTCTTTAGACAGAATCTTACTGCATAGCTCAGGCTAGGCTCAAACTGATGATTCCCCACACACACCTTAGCCTCTCTTGGAGTGCTGGGATATCATAGTACTTCTTCCATCTTTAAGGCCACCTCTGTTTAATATATTGGAACTGATATGGCTCAGTAGTTAAGAGTACCGGCTGCTCTTCCAGAGGACCCAGGTTCAGTTCCCAGTACCTACATGGTGGCTAACAACCATCTGTAGCTCCAGTTCCAGGGAATCCAACACCCTCTTCCCACTGGGCATAGTGGCTTGTATCTTTAATCCCAGCTCTTGGGAGGCAGAAGCACGTCGATCTCATGCATGTCGATTTCTCTGAGATCGAGGCCACTCTGGTCCACATAGTAAGTTCCAGGCCAGCTGGGGCTACAGGGAGACCCCGTCTCAAAAAAGACCAAAATAAAAAAAAAATAAGAAACAACAACAAAAAAGCCTCAAAAACCATTTATTTGGGTGGGGAGTTGAGGGTGTATTACAAGGAAGAGCTCATGGGAATGAGTTCTAGCACAAAATCCATCCAGTGGAATTGTCTAGGGGAGGCTTATTGTTAAAGCCCCAGCTCACTCCAGTATCCTGATCAGATGAAGAAGCAAAGAAAGTTCTGTTCCTCTGAGTGCCCTGGGTAACTATGAAACACACACACACACACACACACACACACACACACTTCAAAGAAAAAAGTTAAATCTCAAACCCCAAACCAGCAAATCTCAGTGTACAAGTGCACAAACTGAGGTCACTTCATTGAACTTGCATTCTTAGTGAGCCCTAGATGATTCTAATGCAGGTGGGTGGGACATCAGAGAAAGAAAAAACCGGCTAGAACCACTAGAGAAGAGGCCCTACTCCAGGCCTTAGTAGGCTGCTCAGAGGCAACAGAGTTGGTACTTTAAATTTATATGCATAGCAGGCACTGTGCCTCTCCTAAAATGGCTTGCTGGGACTAAGAAAGAAGGCTCCATTTCCCGGCCATGTATCTTGTAATAGCTGGTCCCTTAGTTACACAAAGACCATCCAAAATATTGGAAAAAGTTCCTTCAAAGAGCCTGCTTGGTGCTGCACAGAACTCTTCCTTTTTAGTTTGGGAAATAGGAAGTTGTTTTATTCTCCATGCAAGGGAAGAGCACAACAAGCTGTGAGTGTTCAATAAAGGTACATTTAAAAAAATCTCACCAGCACTGGGAGGCAGAAGCAGGTGAATCTCTGCAAGTTCAAGACCAGCCTGGTCTACATAGCAAGTTCCAGGCCAGCTGGGATACAAGGAGACCCTGTCTCAACAAGACCAAAAAACAAAAAAATCTAGAACCCGAGTAATAGGTAAAACTAGGAGTCAGGAAGTCACTGTCTTAGTCCATTTGCTACTGCTGTAACAAATTACCTGATGTTGGGTACCTTATAAAGTAGTTTATTTGGCTCATGATTCTGGTTGCTGGAAGTTTCAAACAGCATGGTGCCAATGTTTTGGGAGGGGTTCACTGGCTGCCTCACAACCTAGTGACACTGGGGACCAAGCTTCTAGCACATGAATAATTCAGGGACAAATTATCATGTTCACAGCCCTCACATCGTAGCAATCTCATCTCTAGGGCAGTGTTTACTGAGTTCTGCTGTAATTTTCCATTCAGTATCTGTCTATTCCAAGAGACACTACAGGAACTCATTAGCCATCATCTTTGGCTTCTTCACCTCAGTATTATTTTTAAAAAACATCTCAGTTGGGCTGGCAAGATGGTAAAGGTACCTCACAAGCCCAATGATCTGAGTCCAGTTCCCTGGACTCATATAAAGGTAGGGGGAGAAAATGGCTCCACAAAGTTGTCCTCTGACCTTCACATATGTACCATGGCACATGTACCCACACGTACACATCACACATATACAATAATTTTCATTTGGAATGTATTAACTCAGCAGACCACTAGCTTCCATCAACTTCAAGGCTAAGAATGTCATCAGATAGCATCTGAGGCTTATAGCAGAGGTCTCCCCATTTTGCTGTGACCCACCTCTCTGATATCTTTATCAATGTTTTTGAAAAGAATTTTGATTTATGACCTTCTTTGTTCTGTTACTATAAACACTTCATGAAACTGTTACCAAGTTGGAACACGAATTTGGGGTGACCTAAATCTGTATTCCTGGGCTGTTCTGCTTACTGTCTTTTTTTTTTTTATTTTGTGTTTTGCCTAAATGTATATAAGTGCACCTGTGTTGTACAATGCCCAAGGAGGTCAGAAGAGAGTGTCAGATCCCCTAGAACTAGAGTTATGGACAGTTGTTAGCTGCCTTGTGGGAGCTGGGAATCAAACCTTGGTCCTTTGCAAGAGCAGCCAGTGCTCTTAACTGCTGAGCCATCTCTCCAGGTCCTGTTCTGGTTACTTTCTATTGCTGAGATAAAAAAAATAGACCAAAACCAACTTTTGAAGGAAAGGGTTTATTTGGCTTACAGCTCAAAGTCCACCATCAAGAGAAGCCAAGGTAGGAATTCAGGGCAGGAACCTGGAGCACAGACCATGGAGGAACACTGCTTACTGGCTTGCTCCTCGGGCCTGTGCTTAGCCTGCTTTCTTATACAACACAGGACAACCTGCCCAGGCGTGGTACTGCCCAAATCATTCAACAATGAAGAAAACATCCCATAGACATGACCACAGGCCAATCCAATAGAGGAAATTTCTTTCCACCCAGGTGTGTTGTCAAGTTGACCACTGAAGATTTCTAGCACATGGGCCATTGCCACTCATTGGTTCTAGAATAAAATATCTCCTATCCCCTTTGAGGTGAGAGTTGTGATTTTGTGTCAACAAGACATACTCTTTGAGGATGTTTCCAGAGAGTTTTAACTGACGGTGTCCACCCTGAATGTGGGAGGAATCATCCCATGGGCTGGGTCCAAGACTAATTAAAAATTGAAAAAGTATGTCAGCAAGATGGCTGAGCAGATAAAGGCTCCCTGGGATCCACATGTTGGAAGCAGTGATTCCCACAGGTTGTCCTCTGAATTCCACGTGCCCACACACAGACACATGTACATACATACATGCATATAAAATAGTTAAAAAGAAAAAAGGGGGAGGGGATGAAGGCAGCTAGCTGAGCACCAGCATTCCTCTCCCTCTGCTTCCTGACTGCAGACACAATGTGACCTCCTGCCTCATGCTTGCTGCTACGCTTTCCCCACCATAATAGGCTGTACTCAAACTGTGTACCAGGAAAAAACTCTTAAGTTACTTTTCTTTTCGTCACAACAAGAAAAGTAACTATAAATAATATGATGCCCTACTCAAAAGTCCAGTCTCAAGAAAAACAACTCACACAGTAAAATGTACTAAGGAAAACAGTGGGTTAAATGTCTTTGAACTCTGTTCAAATAGCCCTCAGGATAAGACTAGTGACTCCCCCACACTACTATTAAAGGCATCCACTTCCTTGCAGCCACACTATCCTCTCTCTGTGCTTGCCCACTGCCTCTCTTGCAGTGTATTTCAATAAATTCTGTTTTATAGGTGTGTCCCGGGGAAGCTCTTTTTACCACTGGTATCTTCAGCCGTCCAGACAGGTGGAAGTTTTCTAGAACTAATTTGCAAGCTCCTTCCTTTCCCTCCCTCTTCCTCTTCCTTTCCCAGGCAACCACAGATTAACTTTTTAATCCTCATTCATTAGGTTTTTTAATTGCCATGATTTTATGTAAATAGAATCCTTTATGTAGTGTGGATTATTGTTTTAATTTTTAAAAATTTATCTTCAGGGCTAGAGAGATGGCTCAGCTGTTAAGAGCACTGGCTGCTCTTGCAGAGGACTGGGGTTCAGTTCCTAGCACCCACATGGCAGATAACTCCAGTTCCAGGGGATCTGATGGCCTCTTCTGGCCTCCAAGGGCACTGCATGACATGGGTACACTTACATACATGCAGGCAAAACACTCATACACAAAAACAAAAAATAAAAAAAGAAGATGGTTGTTAGCCACCGTGGAGTGCTAAGAACGGAACCCTGATCCTTTGCAAGAACACTGAGCCATCTCTCCAGCCCCATGTGTATTATTATTTTGAAGGTAGAGTCTTGATGTGTTCTTGGGCTGATCTTGAATTCCTGGGATCAAGATCATCTTCAGTCTTCTGAGGAACTGGAACTTTAAATTTGTGCCACCATCATGCCCACCCCCACTTGTATTTTTTTTTTTTTTTTTTTTTTTTTGAAACAGGGTCTCCCTGTAGCCCCAGCTGGCCTGGAATTCACTAGGTAGACCAGGCTGGCCTTGAACACACAGAGATCCTCCTGCCTCTAGCTCCCAAGTGCTGGGACTATAAGTGTGCACCACTGTGGGAGATAGGCTTGAGTCTAGGGTGATATTGCAACTGTCAGGGTCATGTGGTTTCCAGGAATCCTGGCTCTGTAATCTGAAACCCAGAATGCTAATGAGGCATCATACCCTCTATTCTGTGATAGGATGTTAAGTCTGTTATGCTAATAGGATGCTAAGTTTGTTATGCTAATAAGGTATCGTACTTACTGTGCTGTGATTGGACCACTACCCTTATATAAGCTTGTGCCTTCCTGCAATAAACCAGACCTGTGTCACTAAACCTGGTCTCCTGTGTCTGAATGTGGCTCCGCTGACAGTCTCCTCACCAGCCAAGGGGTCCAGGACTGGGCAGAAACAACAACAACAGGAGGCAGCAGAGGGAAAACAAAAGAGCTGCCTCAGCACCAGGCGAGCAGAAGAGCAGCCTCAGCCCAGGGCAGGCAGAAGAGCAGCCTCTCCAGGCTGAGTGGAGGAGCAGCCTCGACACCCGTGAGAATGGAGGAGCGGCTGCCGCTGGTAGTGACCGCACACCACCATGCCTGGCAGTTGTCTTTTTTTATATAGTCTGTTATTGGGCCTGGAGCTCATTGAACAGCTATGCTGGCTAGAGAGATAGGTCCAGGGATCCACTTGTCTGTTTCCCCAGCTGCTGCACCGATCAGTCCTTATGCCTCAGATCCTCCACAGGTCGTGCCTTGCTCACGGAACCATCTCACCAGCCCCTCTCTTTAAAAAGCATTTTTAATTTTAATTTTTTATGGTATGAATGCATGTATGTGCCATGGCATGTGTATGGAGGTCACAGGACAACTTCCAGAAGTCAGCTGTCTCCTTCCACGGTGGGTTCTAGGGATTGAACCAAGGTTATCTGGCTTTCATGGCAAGCACTTTTGCCCACTGAGCCATCTCAGTAGCACCAATAGCAAAAGTGCACACACACACTCACACACACAATGTAATTATGTGGTTTTTAAGTTTACTTCCCCTCCCCACACAGATGATGTAACACTTTTCTGTTTAAAAGTCTGCAGTAGCTGTAGTACTTTTCTGTTGCTGTGATAGAAACACTTACCAAAGCAACTTCTAGAAGGAAGAGTTTATTTGGGCTTATGGTTTCAAAGGGGCAAGAGTCCTTCACAGCAGGGAGGCACTGCGGCAAGAGGTGGCTGGAGGAGGAGCAGATGTTAAGCCCTCACATCTTCAAGCAGGCACAGGAAGCAAGAGAGCATCAAGATCAGCAAGGCTTAAGAACTCTCTAGGCCTGCCTCCAGTGACGTGCCTCCTCCAGCATGGCCACACCTTCTAAGACCTCCCAAAATAGCACCACCAACTGGGGATACAATGTACAAATACTTGGAGCCTACAGGGTAAATTCTCATTCAAACTACCACAGTAGCTTAGCACAGGCCTTTGGTCCCAGCACTCAGGAGGCAGAAGCAAGGGGATCTCTGTGAGTTTGAAGCAAGTCTGTTCTACATAGTATATTCCAGGCTAGCTAGAGCTACATAATAAGACCCTGTCTCAAAACAAAACAGGACTGGAAAGATGGCTCAGCGGTTAAGAGCACTGGTTGTTCTCGGTTCAATTCCCAGCACTTACATAGCAGCTAACAACTTTTTGTAATTCCTGTTCCAGGAGATACAATATGATGCCCTCTTCTGGTCTCCATGGGTATTGTATGACTCAGGTGCACATACATACATGTAGGCAATACACTCATACACATTTAAAAAAAAGTATTTTAAAAAACAAAAATCCCTCTTCAATGGCTAATGAGGGCCCATAGGACAGAACACATGGGGTGTTATCTCTCCAAGGCCTCTGCACAGCCTGCTCCAGCTTCATCTCTTACCAGTCCTCACTAGCATGATCTGGTCATATTGCTCCGTTTCCACATCTCCCTCTCTGCAAGCCCTTGCTCATCTCTAGGCCTTTGTATAAGTGATTCCCTCCCTCTTCCAGGAAACCCTCTTCACTTGTTTAATGGCCACTCTTCAGATTTCATCTTAGACACCACTTCTAGCAGGGTACCTTCCTGGCCTGCAGTCAAAGAGAGTAGGTATTTTGTGCTCCCCTAGCATCCCAGGAAGTCCACACTCTAGTACTAATCACACTATACTATAACTATCTTGGCTTTTCTAGTAGGTAGGTTGTAAATTCCAGGAAGGTGGGGGACTTTGCCTGCCTTTTCACTAGTTTCTCTAGTGCCTTCCACAGGGCCTGAGGAATAGTAGGCACTCAATAAACAAATTACTATTAACAATAATGTGAGAACAAGTGTTTGAGAAGTGACTAGACATCATCTTATTGTGAGATCCATGAGACTAAGAATGTAAACACTAAGAATGTAAACACTAGAGTCCTGCCCAGGAGAGTAGCTGGTTACCCCTCAATTCCACCTGGTGGAGAAATCAGTGGCCTGCAGTCCTTCCGTTCCTCTTGGGAGTCATTTGGCTTCCTGGGGGTCTCTCCAAGGCTCAGGTCTCAGAGAGTTAAGCAAAATACCTAACACCCAGTAGAGAAGGCTCTGACCAATCTGAGGGCAGGTTGCATGAGTGGGAGCTAGGCCTAGAAGGGTCCCTGGTACCAAAGTTAGCCCTTTCTTTATCAGGCCATGTAATGGTCCTAGGAAGAACCATCCAGTAACATTTGAGTTTTTAACAGTGGTAAGGCCCGACAGGAACAAGCTCTGTCAACTTCTCTTCCCTTTGTTCTTTTCCTCCCCTAGGTTTAGAGTGAGAGGTGGCCCAAGGACTGTGTGGCTTCTTCAGCAGATGATGAAACTGTGATCCCCTTGGGGGGCAAAACAACAAACCGCTTGTGAAGTGAGGTGGAGCCCAGTCTGAATGCTGGTTCTGCACTGTGTACTCAGTTCAGGTGTTTAAACTGTTGGAAGTTCAGCTCCCTTATCCACACTACCTTGAGACTGCCAGACATCAAGAATGTATCTGGCATAGCGTCTGACTCATATAGTGGAGCTAAATAGATGAGAATTAAGATCAATTAGTAACAGAGTTGAGAACATAGCTAGCTAGTGTTATAAATATGTGTATATGTATTGTGTAGTGTGGTGTGTGGTATTATGTACTTATCGGTGTTGGTGTGTGCGTATGTGTGTGGAGACCAGAGATTGAGGTTTCTTTTCCCTATTACGCTCCACCTCTATTTGTTTATTTACTTATAAAATGTATTCATTTTAAGGGCTGGAGACATGGCTCAGCAGTTCAGAGCACTGGCAGCTCCTGCAGGGACACAAGTTCGGTTCCCAGCATCCCCATGATGGCTAACAACCGTTCCTAACTCCAGCTCTTTCCACCTACTCTTAATATAATGTAGACCGTCAACTTCATGGGAAGATAGCTACTTCCTTTAGCTCTGTCTCCACACTTGCTCAAAGAAAGGGCACAGTCCTTAAGGACTGCCTAGTTGTTAGTGCTGACTTGTGTGCACTTGAGCCAAGCACTTCCTGACAGCAGCCCCGCCCCAAGCCTCCGAGGGTCTATTTCAGGACAGCAGAGACGTGGCTTGGCAAAATAAATCTTTAAGATGCTGAAGCTTAAATCGGGCTTGGTAGGTCAGGAACGCGAGAGCAGACCAAGGTTTGGGGGACATATTTCAGGCACTTTGGAAAACTCGTAGAAAGCGACGTCCCCGAGGAAAGTGCCGCGGTGACTCACCTTGAGTGAGTGCGGAGGTGGGCAGCCGTTTCGGAGCCAGGCTCCGAGGCTCTGCCCTCGGGCATCCCAGAGAGGAGCTGGTTGGCAGACAAAACCTGCACGTACTTGCCCTTCCACACACCGGGCGCAGAGGCGAGGAGTGGAGGCCAAGGGCGTGGGCGAGGCCACTCGGTGGGCGGGGCCTCCCTGCAGAGCCAGGAGGCCCGGAGCAGGGGCGGGGTTTCCGGCCTCTGCGCACTCCGGCAGCTAGTGACGCCGAACGGACGATCGTCACGTGACACGGAAGTGACTCCGAACAGGAAGAGGACGAGAAAAATAACTGTCTGCGACGCGGAGTCGAAGCGGACCCGCAGCCACCATGAACAGCAAAGGCAAGGACGGGAGGTGGCTGAGGCGGTCGGGGGTCTGGCTGGGAGGCAGTGAGCGGGGTCCGGGTCCAGGGACGCCCGGCGCCCGGCTCCCGGGGACCTGCGCCGCGTTCCTCGACCGGCCGCGGGCCGCCGGGCTGCACCTGACGCCGGCGCCTCCGCAGCCCTCGGCGGCTCGCTCGCTCCCTCCCGGCCCTGGGGCCCATTGACTCTGTGGCGCAGTTTGGGGTGCAGGCTCGGGCGTGTGGCGGGGGGGCTTTGTCACGATGGGCGTCCGAAGGAGCGAATGGGGAGCTGGAGTAGGGATTTGGGCAGGCCAATGGCGGGCGGGCAGAGGCGGGGCACCGCGCTTCGGACCAACAGGCCGGGTCCGAGCTTAACTACTGAGGTGCCGACGCCCGGGGGCCTTGGGGGCCGTGGGGGCCGCAACGTCCCCAACGTCTCCTTCCCACTGCCCTGCGCAGTCCTCGTCCTTCGCTGGCAGGGCTAGGATTTCTCCCCGTCACTGTGATTGTGCCCGTGATTGCCAGAACACGATCGCTTTGACCTTTTCCCCCTCTCATGGTTCAATCCCATTCAGTCCCTTTATTTGGAAGTCGACCTTGAATAGGAATCTGTGAGGTAAATACTCAGAAACATCGGTACCCAGAGTCTAGACGGGTTACCGTCCAGCCCGTGTAGACAACCCAGAGCAGAAGGTCCCTGGACATACCTGCAGTCCAGAACGTCAATAACGGTTCCCCAGACCTGTCCTGCGTTGTGGAGGAACCTGAGCCAAGCTAAACTTTTTTCTTTTCCCTCCATCAGTATGCTAGTGGGAACAGCGCCTTTTCTGTCCAGTCAAAACCCAGCACCTTCCATTGTGAGGATGTAAACAATTCTTATTTTCTTGGCTCTAAGAAATCAGGTCCTATGTGTCAGTGTATATGTGCATGTTAGTGCTGATGCCTGCAGAGGACAGAGATATCAGATCCCCTTGGAGCTGGAGTTTTGGGCAGTTGGGACCTGCTCTGTGTGGGTGGTAGAAATCAAACTCCAGTCCTCTGGAAGAGCAATTTTGCATTCTTAGCAGCTAAGCCATCTCTCTAGCTTCCCCTTCCCCAAATTTAGTGGCTTTGTACAGCAGACTTTTTTTTTTTCCAACACAGCCTACCTACCCTGTGCAACCTCCTGGGAATCCAGTATATCCTCAGACCTTGCATCTTCCTCAGGCTCCACCCTATACAGATGCTCCACCAGCATACTCAGAGGTACTGCAGTTTGCCAGACTTTAATACTCTTGGACCCCCATATTCAGTCTTTAAGTCTGACTTTACAAATAGAAAGATGCTTTATGAATAATCTAAAACATTGTGTCAGCAGTTACTGTTGGAATTGAGAGTGTATTATCTGATCATGTTGTTTGGCACGTGCTGAAATTGAGTTTCTATGCCTTGAGCCTAATATTAACTATAGCAGCAAATGATCCGGGAGAATATTGTGTATCAGTGAAAGCTTGTGTAACTCACATCTTCACATGAGAAAAATTAAGAATAGACTCTTGGATCACACATGATGGTACAGGTTTGTAATCCCAGCACTCAAGAGGCTAAGGCAGAAAGATCCTGAGTTCAAGGCTAGCTTGGGCTACATAACCAAACCCTGTTTCAAAAACCAAATAAGGGCCCAGTTGTGATGGTGCATTTCTTTAGTCCTAGCACTTGGGAGGCAGAGGCAGGTGGATCTCTGAGTTTGAGGCCAGCCTGGTCTACATAGTAAGTTCCAGGCCAGCCAGGGCTAGTGAGAACCTGCCTTTAAACAAACAACAAAACATGGGGCTGGGGATGTAGCTCAGTTACTAGAGTGTTTGTTTAGCATGCACAAAACCCTGGATTTGATCCCCAGCATCATATAAACTGGGCGTTGTGGCACAGGTCTGTCATCTCCAAACTCAGGAGGTGGAGGCAGGTGAATCAGTTCAGGGTCAGTTGACTCATTAAAGAGATTTCAAATAAGAATGTCATAAAGTAACATTTTGCCTTTTCTTCTGCTTCTTTTAGCTCTATCGCCCAAGCTTTGTTCATCCAGGGGCTGCCACAGTCCCCACCATGTCAGCTGCATTTCCTGGCGCCTCTCTGTATCTGCCTATGGCCCAGTCTGTGGCTGTTGGGCCTTTAGGCTCCACAATCCCCATGGCTTATTACCCAGTTGGTCCCATCTATCCACCTGGCTCAGCAGTGCTGGTGGAAGGAGGGTATGATGCAGGTGCCAGATTTGGAGCTGGTGCTACCGCTGGCAACATTCCTGTGAGTATGACCTGAAGCTTAGCCTGTAGTTTAGCTTTTTGAAATGACTTCATATTCATTCTCCCTCCATCCCTGGATTATAGTAGCCAGTGTTGATGCAACCATTGGCATCTTTTAGGCAGAAAGTAGCTGTGAGGGGCAGGGCAGAAGTATGGCAGGTGAGCAGCATCTGACACATTCACTAGGCTTTCAGTTAATCAGTCATTTGTTTTTTGGCCTAGTGAAGATAGGGCTTGCTGTTTTTCTAGCTCTACAATGGACTGGTCCATTAATGATCCTTATTGAGTCCATAAGCATTTGATACTTGTCTTGAGCATGGTATTGAACTAGGAATCCTGAATACATAATCCCTAGTGAGTAGCTTTTGGAAAGACAGTAGGAATTTAGTTACAGGTCCTCCAGCTCAGTGTTCACTGTTGGGGATTTGTTGCCCACATGGTCCTTACAGAGGCCATCTGCTTAGGAATCATATGCCAAAGGTGAAGTTGGAATGGTGTCGTTGTTTTTCAGTATTCCAGTGGTCCATTTAAAAACTCTGTGGAGTGCTGGGGTAGCTCAGTGGCAGCAAATATACTTAGTATGCATAAAGTGTACCGCCCCCAGCCCCCATTTAAAAAAAACAAAACACAGTATAGACTACCTAGGGATCCTGTGTGATTTTTTTTTTTTTTTGCCATGGACTATGGTGAGGATGTTGGTTGGGAGTGGCTCTCCCCTGAGAGAGACTGGGCCTGGCATTCATAGGCTTCATCTTGAAGCTGGCATATTCTGAATGATAGATAGGCTTCCTTTCCTGTTTGTGTCTTTAGATTCACAGACAAGGTTGACTTTCTATAGATCTCAAGTTGGTGCAGAATTAAAATGTTGGTTGCCTGGTGTGGTAGCACATGCCTATAATCCCAGCCAGGGGAGGCAGAGGCAGGAAGATTGCTATGAGTTTGATGACAGCCTGGGCTCCATAGCAAGAACTAGGCCAGCCAAAGTTATACAGTGAGGTCCTGGCCTTAAAAAAATAAGTTAGCCGGGCGTGGTGGCGCATGCCTATAATCCCAGCACTCCGGAGGCAGAGGCAGTCGGATCTCTGTGAGTTCAAGGCCAGCCTGGTCTACATAGTGAGTTCTAGGACAGCTGGGGCTACAGGGAGACCCTGTCTCAAAAAGACCAAAAAAGAAAAAAAAAAAAGTTAAAAAGTTACTGGTTGGCACATTGCCATCTTCTTGAGCGGCATCTGCTTATCATGTGTCCCTGTCCCTGTACCCACTCTGCCTTGTCTTTTCCTTCCAGCCTCCGCCTCCTGGATGCCCTCCTAATGCTGCTCAACTTGCAGTCATGCAGGGAGCCAATGTCCTTGTAACTCAGCGGAAGGGAAACTTCTTCATGGGTGGCTCAGATGGTGGCTACACCATCTGGTGAGACAGCACGGCCACCTCTGCCGGGAAAGACATCACATACTTCAGCACTTCTCACGATGTAACTGCTTTAGTCATATTAACCTGAAGTTGCAGTTTAGACACATGTTGTTGGGGTGTCTTTCTGGTGCCCAAACTTTGAGGCACTTTTCAAATTTAATAAGAAACCATGTAAGGGTAGCAGTACCTCCCCAAAGCATTTTGAGGTAGGGGAGGTCTCCATTCATCAAATGAATGTGGATGAAGCAGTCCTAAGGATCTTCCTTTAATTCCTCCGGAGTAATACTGTACCATACTGGTCTTTGCTTTTAGAAATAAAACATCAAATTAGGTTTGGAGGGAACTTTGATCTTCCTAAGAATTAAAGTTGCCAAATTATTCTGATTGGTCTTTAATCTCCTTTAAGTCTTTGGTTTATATTACTCGTTAAATGAAACACGTTAGTTGTCTGCCTTTTCCTTTTGGTCTTCTGCCCCCTGTGCCCCCGTCCCTAGTCTTCCATCCCCTCCCACCAGTCTCCATTGAATCAGTGGTGCAGCAGAAAGCCAGTCAGACAGACTTCCTTCTCTCCCTGCGCTTGTCCTACTTGCCATTTTCAGACTCTTTGACAAGGATCCTCTGCCCCCATGCCCTAAGCACAGACCTAGTTTCTTCAGCTTTTGTATTTCTTCAGTCCAAAGTGAAGGGTGTGTTTGGACCCTCCTCATAGATGTCTCTGCATCACCAATCTAACCCACGTTTCCTTTGGTGCCAGAAAAACAGAACTTTAAACAAAAGATTTCAGTGTAAACGGTTCCATAAACGTTTCTTTAAATTATGATGGGCAGGGAAGAACGTGCATGACAAAGGCTAGCTTTAGAGCCAAAAGAACAGGCGTTTTCAGATCAAAAATTACCATTTTCTGAGTGTCTGATACAGCCACTCAGGGCTTCCAAGAATTCCTAACTGGGTTAATAGGGTCATGCTGTAAATGTCTCACTAGAAAATGACTTGAGTCCAGTGAAATCTCCTTAGGATTAATATTTCAGGGATCCTTAATATTTTGACTTTTGTTTTCTGAAATTGGATTTTATTTTAGCTTATAATTTCAGTTCATCTAAATCTTGTGTCCTGTACATGTGATGTTTGACTGTACCATTGACTGTTATGGAAGTTCAACGTTGTATGTCTTTCTCTACACTGTGGTGCACTTAACTTGTGGATTTTTTATACTAAAAATGTAGAATAAAGACTATTTTGAAGATTTGAATAAAGTGATGAAGTTGCATTACACCTCACTCCAGGCCTTCTTTACTTAGCATGTTTTTAGATTTCTTCATCTACACCATGTCTTCTGTACCCTACCCAGGATTTAGCAGGTGCTTCTGATGTTCTGTTGTCTGATGATGCAGGTGTTCAGGGCTAGATTTGACTGTCTCATTAGTTCCACTCAAGATGCTACATTTTGCTTCACTTCACAACCTAAGCTCATCAGCTTCTGGGATTCAGAATGTAAACTCAGGGTCCCTGGTTTCCCTCACTTACTCTGAGGTTTTGATTGAGGAAAATGTCTTATAAGGTGTATACTTCCGGGTGATCTCCAGTTTCTCCAAAAGTGTATGTGGAAAAATACTGAAAACAAGCCAGGCCTGTAATCACATTGCCCTGGAGGCTGAGGAAGGGGTACTGCCCAAAGTTTATGCCAGTTTGGGACACTTAGCAAGACTGTCAAGAAGAAAAAAAAATCCCCACACAAAACAAAAACCAAACCCTTGAAAACTCAAGGAATCTATACTGCTGACACTGGTTCCTTAGCTCTTGGCTCTTAGTGGGCTTGAATTTGGACAGGAGTTTAATAACCTCAAAGAAGGCTAGCTTAATTCAAGTTAGAGTCTAAGAAGCTAACAATTTATATCAGTGTACTGTTTCTTTTAAATACAGCTCATTTTGATAGTTGGTTAAACCTAAGAAGCTTCCTGGGTTGAAAAGAACTTTTCCTGGTGGTAGACAAGGTGGCCACATTTTCCTGGCTCCCTCTTTGAGCACAGGAGATCTGAGAAATTGTAGGTCTTACCAGGATGGAGACCAAACCAACTTCTCTTTCTAGTCTGTTTCTAATGATGCTTCTATGGGACAAGCTTCTTGGATCCTCCTTGTTTCAAAGTAAGATAGTTCTGGGAACTTATGGAACTTCCCTTAAGAGTTACTACTGTGAGCCGGGTGTGGTGGCGCATGCCTTTAATCCCAGCACTCAGGAGGCAGAGGCAGGTGTATCTCTATGAGATTAAGGACAGCCTGGGACTACAGGGAGACCCTGTCTCAAAACACAGAGTTCTTACTGTGAGATAACATGCAAAGAAGTTAAACAAGCAAGAGAAAATGCCGTCAAAGTGTAAGCAAAAATAAGGCAAAATTAGTTTTCGAAGAAAATCTGACTTTTATAGTAAGTTTAATTTGGACAGAAACAGTGTAAGTATTTGGTTGTGGGAAATGGAAGAGCTCAGATTAAGGGATGTGGCACATTTATGAGGAGGTAACATTTGCAGTCTCCTAGCCATCCTAACCTGGCTTTTTCCTATGATGTCCAGCCTCTGGAAAGACTCTGGGTAGCCACATTGGGGCTATCTATCATTAAACAACCAGGGAGGGGACAGAGTAGAACAGCTGGTGACCTTCCTCCCCACCCCCCCCTTTCCAACATGTGGAAGCACATACTGAGGTATAGCCATGCCTTGTTGGTCAGTTATAAACACTAGCCTGGCTGCAGGTATCATAAGCAGCTTTCTCCATATCCCTGGTCTCTGGAGCCAGTGATATTGGCAAGGCTATATCCTGACAGGTGATTGGATTTGCCTGTGTCAGTCAGTGCCACTCACTGATTTCAGATGAAACTTCCTAATAAAGAGTCAGCGTTAGCACTGGAGCCAGGAATTAGGTCCTGGTGGTATGGGATCATTAGATGAAATACTCCTCTTTCTCTCTGCCCTTGGCTGAGTCACTCTCCATCTGGAGGATGGCGCTGGGCTCGCCTTCTGCTGGTTCGTAGGTGATGTAGCTGCCTTTGTTCTTGTACAGGTAAAAGAAGATCAAGGTCACGACTGAGAGCAGGGTGAGGAAGACCACGGTGATAACAACTTGGAAAGGAGAGGGAAAATGGGAGACATGTTTCAGGATTGCAGGTGTCTTAGGAATTCACTGGGCCCCCTGAATTAGGCTGTTTCCTCACTCTTTGTAAGGATCATCTTGTGCTAGTTACTTAGCATCCACTTCCAAGTCCATGCTCCCTACTAAACCCAGCTTCCACAGTGCACTGTACCCCAGCTGTCTTGGCACTTCAGCTAAGAACACAAGGCTTTGATTCTGAAAAAACTCAACTTCCTCCTAAACCAGTTCCTGATGATTGTGACAGAAACCAGGAGGGAAATAAGAAATAGCTTAGATACAGTTTCCTCACCCACTTAACAAACCACACATACCCTCTTCCCAACCACTGTACTCCAGCTTAGTGTCCATATGCACCAGTGCCTGTACATAGCCACTCCCACCCTAGAGCCTCTGCATCTTTCATAGCTCTGTGTGTGTGAAAACCTACATGCCAGAATGAGACCAGAATGGAGTTGGTCCTAGATGTGGTTTTTCCTGTGTGGGGAAATCTTAGTGGTCACATTGAGTTCCAGGCTGTCTTGGAAGCAAGATGATCTCTGAGCCCAGAGGATCCTGTGGGTTTGGTATGCTGGCTTTCTTACCCGCAATGAGTGCTGTGCTGGCCTCTTGAGCTTGTGGGGACAGGGTCTCAGTGACCTGCAGAACTGGCGTAGTCATCAGTTCTGGAGCGGTTAGAAAAGTTGAAAAGGAAACGGTGAATTCTTTGTCTTCTACATGCCATCACGCTACCTTCTCTGGTCAAAGTTCACCACAGAGTTGGACAGATTCTCATCAGTAAAGAGGGAGTACTCCTCTTGCAGAGGACCCAGATGTAATTCCCAACACCCACATGGGGTAGCTCACAACTCCCTATAACTCCAGCTCCAGGGGATCCAATACCTCTGAATTCTGCAGGAACCTGCACTCACGTGCACATACATATAATTAAAGATAAAATCTTGAGAAAAAAAAAGTTCAGTGGGGGCTGGAGAGATGGCTCAGTGGTTAAGAGCACTGGCTGTTCTTGCAGAGGACCCTGGTTTGATTACCAGCACCCACATGGCGACTAACAACTGTCCTTAACTCCAGTTCCAGGGGAATCTGATGCCCTCTTCTGACCACTGAGGGCACTGCACAAACACGGGTGTACTGCCATACACACAGGCAATATACTCATACACATAAAATAAAAAGTGGGGACTTTTGGCTGGGCATGATGGTGGCTGCCTTTAATCTCAGCACTCAGGAGGCAGAGATAGGCAAATCTTTGTGAAGACTGAGGCCAGCCTGGTCTATATAGTGAGTTCCAGGCTGGCCAAGCCTACATAGTGAGACCCTGTCTCAAAAAAAAAAAAAAAAATCAACAAGGGGGTGGGGCTTTTGTTAAGTATGGTATGGCACATCCCTCTGGATCCCAGCACTCAGGAGGCTGAGAAAGATTGTTGGTTCAAGGCCCTCCTATGCTATATAGAGTTCCGGCTAGCCTGGGCTTTATAGGGAGAACATGTCTCAAATAAATACAAAACAAACAAGAAGAATGGGGGTTTTAAAGCTTGATGTATTAGTTTTCAAATGTGATCTCTATCCTTTACAACCTGCATGACCTGGAGGTGGGGGGGAATCACCTAACCTCTGCCACCATCAAATGCAGAGGGGAAAGAACAGAACCTACTTTATAGGGTTGTGACATAGTAATAAACTAAGGATACATCATTATCAGGAATGTGTGTTTTTATATAGATGAGATCAAATACTCAGTATATCCACATGTATATAAATTTATATTACAGAATCATAATTAGATTTTTTAATGTTCTACATACTTGTGTATGATATGTGTCTGTATGTGTGTTCATTCATGGATGTGGGCATGCACATACCGTGACGCACATGTAGAGGTCAGAGGACAACCTCAACCATTCATCCTCACTTCCCTCCTTATTTGAGACTGGGTCTCTTGTTCACTGCTGCCTGTGACAGGCTAGATGGCCTATGAGCTCCAGAAGATTCTTTTGTATCCTTCTCTCACCTCACTGTAGGAACACTGGGATTACAGACACATGCTACTGCGTCTACCTTTCCATGGGTTCTGGGGATCTGAACTCCGGTCCTTGTACTTGGGCAGCAAGCACTTTACCCATTAAGCCATCTCCCCAGCCATATGTATTATATACAATGATTATTTTAAAATAATGAAGTAATGTTTCTCCCTTACCAAAACCCGTTTACTTCTAAGGTTGGGCTCTGTGCTTTGAAAGATTCGAAACATTTTCTACCCAGAAATATTTCCTGTATCCTATCCGATGTGGGTTGGCTTATCCTTTGAGCTCAAGCTCAAAGTCCCAGCTAGAGTCATTATCCAGAATCAGGCCATTACTAAACTGTGGTCTCCCTTTAAATGTTTCCACAGGAGGTCAGGAAACCTTACCCCCCCAACCCCCCCAACCCCCTGCCTTTGTTGTTTCAGATGGTCTTACTAGCCAGAATCCCTAGAACGCAACATGTAGACCAGGCTGGCCTTGAACTCAGAGAACTCTGTCTGCCTCTGCCTCCAGAGTGCTGGAATTAAGGACTTGCATGCCACCAAACATTTTAAGTAGCGTTTTCACTTAACTGTTCAAAAAGATAAAAATTAGGTAAAGTTTCTGAATGATAAGGGTGTCCTAGGGAAGACAGCCTGGCCAACCCTGGAATCATTCACATTTCTCCAATAAATAACAACTGCAAGCCTGGTATAATGGCTCATACCTGTAATCACAGGCCTCAGGAGGCTGAGGCAAGGGGACTGCAGTGAATTCTAGGTCAGCCTGGGCTACAGAATGAGATGCTGTCTCAAAAGAACTTAAAACCAAGTCCAGGCATGGTGGCACACACCTTTAATTTCAGCACCCAGGCAGCAGAGGCAGGCATATGTCTAAGTTGGAGGCCAATCTGGTCTACAAAGTGAGTTCTAGGCTAGCCAGGGCTACATAATGAAACCTTTCCTCAAAAACAAACGAACAAACAAACGAACAGAAGCCTAAAAACAAAAACAAAACAACATCACCACCATACACAGACAAATCCAAAAACTCCCCAAAATTAAAAACAGAAAGAAGGAAAAACAAATCACTAAGCCAATAGTATTTGTGATCTACCTGCTTTGCCAGGGGCTGTACTAGACACCCTGGGGATAGAGCAGAGCCCAGCAGACAGAGTGAGCTTGGCAGAGGTTACACTCTACCATGCCCCACAGGTCAGTTCTGAACTGCAGAAACTGCAACAAAGGAATATACTCCACCCTCAGAAGGGCAAGAGGCAGAGGGGCCTGATCTAGTCTTCCAGTTGGGAGTGATTTCCCAAGGAAGCAAGATTTGAATGGTACTGAGGTTGGGGTTGGATGGGGCTATTGTAAGTAGAGAGAAGAGCCTAGGTCAAGGGCACAGCAGAAACATGATTCCAGAACAAGTGACAGCACATCAGCCACTGTGAGCTGGTGCTAAAAGCATCGCAAGTGTTGAGGGGTCTTTTCACACAGGCCAACAAGGATTCTCATGAATCTGCATCTCCCTGGTCCCCTAACAGAGAGCAGAGGCAGGTTACTTCCCTGTCCCAAGGCCAGGTCCAATCCTTCTCTACTCTTTCTTTACAAGAGATAGTGTACACTTGGCCACCTTGCGGCCTTAATTCATTTTTCTGTTCTTATTTTATGTATTAAATTTTAGATTACATTTTAAAAACTATTTTATTTATTTTTATGTGTCTGAGTGTTTTGCCTGCACTTGTGTAAGTGCACCCATGTCATACAATGCCCACAGAGGTCAGAAGAGGGGACCGGCTTCCCTTGGAACTGGAGTTACAGTTGTTAGCTGTCATGTGGGTGCTGGGAATCAAACCTGGGTCCTCTGTAAAAGCAACCAGTGCTCTTAACCACTGAGCCATCTCTCTAGCCGAGAGAGAGAGAGAGACAGACAGAGAGAGAGAGAGAGAGAGAGAGAGAGCGCGAGAGTGAACGAACATGTGGAGATCAGAGGACGACTTGTAAGAGTCAGTTCTCTCTTTTACCATGTGAGTCCTGGAAATTAAACTCTGGTGGTCAGGCTTGGCAGCAAGTGCCTTTACCCACTCAGTCATCTCACTGGCCCATTCTCATCTGTTACCCATGGGAACTAAACTAACCCATGTTGCAAGGCTATTGTGTGAATAAAGTGAAAGAACACCAGAAGAGCTACGAGGTAGCTCAGTTATAGAATGAGAGACAGACAGACAGACAGACGGACGGACAGGAGGCTGAGTGGTTAAGAGCACTTGTTATTCTTACAGAGGAGTGGAGTTCAGACACCCATGTCAGGCGGCTTACAACTATCTGGAACTCCAGCTCCAGGGAATCTAACTCCTTCTAGTCTCAAACACTCACAGGCACACATATGCATGCACACATGCGTGCACGCACACACACATACACATACAATTTTTTAAAAATACCTTTAAAAAGAGAGGGTGAAAGAGAGTAAACTGAACTATATATTAGTAGCAGACACTACTTCAACCCCTGGAACACATGAAAAGATGGAAGGAGAGAACAGATTCTACAAAGTTGGTCTCTGACTTCTACATGTATGCTGTGGTATACACACACACACACACACACTAATGATAATGGTAATATTCTTTGAGATTTGCCATGTGTCCTAGTTTGTTTCTCCATTGCTGTGACAAAACACTCTGACCACTACCAACTTGGGGAGGAAAGGGTTTATTCAGCTTACATCTCCTGGGTTCATCAGGGAGCCCAAGGTAGAACTCAGGGCAGGTACCTGGAGGCAGGAGCTGAAGCACAGGCCATGGAGGAACTCTGCTTACTGGCTTGCTCCCCTGGACCCTGCTCATCTTGTTTTCTTATGCAACACAGGCCCACCTGCCCAGGCCTGCCCAGGGGTGGCACCACCCACAGTGGGCTGGGCCCTCCCATATCACACAATCAAGAAGATGCCCATAGGCCAGCCCAATGAAGGAAATTCCCCAATTGAGGCTCCCTCAATCCAGGTGTGTCAAGTTGACACTGAAGCTATCCAGCACACCATGGATGGTAGCTTACATCTGTAATCTTAGCACTCTGGAAGCTGAGGCAAAATGATCTGAAGGTCAAGGCCAGCTTGAGCAACATAATGAGTTCCAGGTCAGCCTCAGTTATATAACAAGAAGACCCTGTTTAAAAAACAAAAAATCATTTAGGGTGACTGTTTACATGTGGGTGACTCTATTCACATGCTTAAAAGGGAAAGTCACTCTGGCTTTGAAGTCTTCTCCAGCATATTGGGTGACTGACTTAGAGGAGATGATGATCATCATCATTCTATAGATCTGTAAAATGGGAGGTGTGCTACACAACTCCTCAGATGGCTGTCCTGATCCTCACCCTGTGCACGCTTGTATGTGTGCCCCCTGGTGTGTGGGGGCACCCCCTGGTGTTCGTGCCCAGCCCAGCAACTTGCTTCTTACAAACAGACTAAAAGGAGATTGAGGCAGGACTGCCCTGAGTTCAAGGGCCAGTCTGAGTTACATAGTGAGTTCTAGGCCAGCTTGGGCTACAGAGGGAGACCCTGTCTCAAAAAATTAAAACCAAACCAAGGAGCTTATGGGCATAGGTTGAAGCAAAGCTAGTCATAATCTAATTACTCTTTACCATGAACTTGTTCATAGG